TACGTTGCTTGGTTTGCTGCCCAGCCTGCATTCGTTGAGGGAACAGATTCACCGGCTATGATCATCGCCTATGATCACCGACTACAAGCAAGTATATCTTCAATAGCCGGTTGAATCGAGACCAGAGTGTAGATCACGCACACTGGACTTCAAAGCCGAAGTTCGAGATCCTCTGTGCGATACCTCAGCGGTCAAGCGCGACCATATCAAATTGGGGAAATGTGTCTCTTGCGTTTTCATGCCGTCTTCGTTTCGTTGACCCCGTTCCTTTGCTCTACACACCATGCTCTCGGCTGAGGAAAGGCCTCAGCGGTGCGTTCCGTATATAACCTGGAGATCAGACAGGATTGGGTCAAGCAGCCAGCCTCGTGGATATGAATGATCAACTTTCATATTAGTTCCTGGTTCGTACACCACGGATTTGTTCCAATTGAGAACAGTCTCCATTATTTGCGAGTGCTATACTCTCATCTTCACCCACGGGCACATTTGATTGCACGCGCCTCTCCCCGTACGGCCTTGCATTTGGTCAGCTGTCGACAGCAACATCACCAACCAGGGGTGACTTCCACTGTGATAGCTCTCAGGCATATGGCCTTCTATTCTTTTGTTTATCGATGGGTTGATCCCGGCTCAGTATGGTAGTGCACTACCTTCTGTGTCTGGTCTGCCTTGTCTCACCCATCCTGTGAGAAAGCTACAACACTAAGAGCTGCGCCTTGCGAATCAGAGTTATGCCGATATGGATCCGTGACTGTATCCAAGAATGGTTTACGTGGCACTACAGTCCACTGAAACTCGGCTCTAGCAATCGAGTGCTAGCCGTGCACAGGAAGTGGACCAACGGATAAAGTCCCTTCCTTATGGTCGCAGTTCTTGTGACTACTTACTATCATGTAAGTACGCTTTTGCTCGAAGTTGAGCGCCATGCATGGTCGGTGCAGATGCTAACCGACCAGTATACAGTCCGTTTGGCAATGTCCTACTGATGAGAACGAACCACAGTATCAGGCTGATTTGACGGATTTCGAGACAGGAGAGCGCAGGACACAATGGCGATCCGAGTTTACTCCAGCAATATCGGATGCGAGCTCGGAGAGCACATGGAGTTTGGAGCGTTCAGAGAGTATACCCGGTCTGCGGAGATCTGCGAGCGCGTGAGAAGATTATCGAATCATCATGGATATGTCGACACCACCTGAGCAGGCTGAACTTCTGTTAGTGTCGACATTTCCCATGGTCCTTCCTGCGCCAATTCCCATTACAGGCATTCATGGCTCTGGCATCTGATGCAGAGCCAAGAAGGTCATATCCACATCTACTTAAGAACAAAGATGTCTGGCGGATTGGATTGGCTGTGCACGTCAACACCGTCGTCATTGAGAAATGGTCGCAATAAGCCAGTCTCGGATGAAAGGCCGAATCGAGATGGATGGGCACCGCGTCTGCATGTTGCAGAGCTCTGAGGAGAACGAGATGGCATGGATACAGTCGTCCATCTACTGCGACATAGATGTTCGTCTGCTATCGAATATATCTCTTACATGAGACGAGCAAGGCGGAAAGGCCTCGATGCAAGAGTTAACCTTGAACACGGATGAAGGACTACACAATATTGACGAGGACATTTCTGCGGATCTACATCCTGCTACTCTTGTTTATTCTTTTCCCGAAAAGTCGAGAAGGCATTCCACTAGAGTCCACTCAATGGAAAGAGTGACTGACTCGGAATATTCCGGCCAACGTCCTATCCGCCAAGGTTACGATCTAAGGAGCCCTTCGAGGCTCTAATCTCCTTCTCTTGACCATTATATAGCCGTCTGGACAATGATGCCGGCTAAAGTGACAGACCCCGCCCGTTCCCTGCGACAATCCACTTGTGTCGTTGTTCTCGCGGAGCATGAAGGCAAGGCTCAGAACGTAGGATTATGAATTGGAAACTCGAGAGTACATATCGCTGCTCGCGACTCAAAGTCCAGGAGAACAACTCCCTTTACGAACGCAAACGATACAGCTTTACAGGAGGACCCACCCACGCATCGGGTGCTTTTTCAGCGAAAAAGAATGACGATACCCTGCAAACAAGTATATGATCCACTTTGTAATACTTCATCCTAAGGCAATGTCTACTGCGGAGCATCATGTTTACATATTAAGAGATTTTTGAGCTTCGCAATGAAAGACATAATAAAGAGCCAAGTTTTTTCCAGACATATTCCCTTACCCATAGCCCACGTATACAAACAATCAAGCAAGTAGCAGATCTGCAAGACTATACATCAAGCACAGACATGCGACACGACTCCGTTGCGTTACACCACACTCACTTAATGTCGATACGTTTGCTCACAGTGGATTCGGCCGTTTTCGGGATGGTAATCGAGAGGACACCGTCCTTCAAACTTGCATCGATACCATCGCGGTCCACAGCGTTGGGAAACCGAAACGAACGTCTAAACTCTCCCACCGAACGCTCAGAACACCACCAGGATTGTTCGGGGTCTTCTGATGTTGACTCTCGCTCAGAACGCCCCTTGATGGTAAGGATGTTGTCGTCGCTCAGTTCAATCTCAATGTCCTTCTTGTCCACTCCCGGAAGCTCTCCGTCGAGACGGTAGTTGTCTTTCGTCTCGCGGACGTCAAACCGAGGAGAGTGACCCAGCACATCATGGCTGCCCGCTGAACGGTTTAGGAAGGACTCAAGGTCATTAAGAGCTCGAGACAAGGAGGGAAAGCCAGCGCCAGGATTCCTTTGCATCAAAGACATTGTCCTGGTTTGCCATGGCTGGCGCGGCCGCAGAGAGCGGATAACTGAAGGACGCGTAGCGAAGTGTCTAAGCGGGGTGTTCAAAAGTCTGCGGGCATACATCTTGATCTCTGGTTTTTGGTGTCGTCTTTGTCATCTGAAGATAGCATATAACTATGTCTTGTATATATACCTTCATGGAAGCGTATAAACGTCATTATTGTATTTCATCGTCAAAGTTTGAATCGTGGCTCTCCGGAAGCCTCTAGAAAGTACATGGTCGCTGTACCGCAGATAATCGATCTATACGCGTATGATATGGTATTCTGTGGCGTACTGAGACAGCAGAACGCATTGGTTAAGACATCATTTGTTCCATGGGATTCCAGCCGTTAGATGCCACGTGACTATGGACAGCTGATTATCCCACTGTCTCTATTCCACGGGCCCAAGGGGTGTCTTCGTTGGCTAATGCATACATCCGGACAGTCTTAAAAATTATTGTCCTAAGGGATTCTGTTGGACCATCAAAGCGCTCTAAGCGGGGAGCTGCGACCGCGAAACTCAATTTAGCCATATCGGCAAGCCGTAGCTGAAATGGACCATGATCATTCTAGATGTGGCGATTGACAGTTGACGATGATCATGAGACCCTAGCTCTACATTTGAGTTGATTCTGCCTTTTATTGTCCTCGTACCCATTATTCATCCTGGTGTGTAATATTCTAATTATCTATCTTTGCAGTAAGCATGACACATCTAGATACGCAGGAGGTCTCATGCGAGGATGATATAAGGGTTATCACTGGTAATTTGAACGCGCGGTTGAAATCCATGGGCCTTGGGGTTGATGGAGATCCTTCTGCCCTCAGCGCGCAGAATTCAGCAGACAATTTGTTTGAAGTCAATGTTGAGGTGACATGGTTGCCACAGACGGCTTGGTGCCAACAAATCTCGCTAGCGCGGAGGCTTTCGTTCGCAACCTGAAGAAGGTATATCAATGTAACTAATGACGGCAAGGGCAAACGGTTATCGTACGCAGTTTTTATCCGCTCTCTGATCTGGCATGGCTGCTTAAGGTGCAGATCGTGAATTAAATCACTCTGTGAGAGCTGAGCAGCAACTGCGCCGCGCAATTTATTTAAGCTTTTGATGAGAGTACCAGTGTCCGATAAGAACTCGAGGACTACCAATCCCTCGTGTGGGCACACAAGGAGTACGTCTCTTGGGATGATCTCTCCGCCTCATGGAAGCAGTTCAGCAAGTCCAAACAGTCGAAGCATGTCTTCGAACAAGGTATGCCAACACAACCTCGACCGTCCGAGCAGGACAGGAAGATGAATCCGTCCTGCGGAAGGCTTTGGGTGACTTCAGGTGGTTTGCATGGACTCCAAACGGCTTTTCAAGCCCGCAATAATGGATGGCTTGGTTTGGATGGATCGATTGGATCGGATCCTACGGGTTTCGGGGTTCCATCCACCTTACCGCTGTGGCTTCATCGGGCTAATGCCCAACCCTTCAGTAAGAATGCACCATCAGACTATAGTGACTGACAGCGAATCAGAGTCGTAAGCGATGAAGAGCACTTAAAGATTCGTGCTCCCTGATGACGGTGCATAATGCAGCCAGCCACTATCAGAGGTGCGGACTCCTCTTTTGAAACAAAGAAAAAATAAAGATGGGAGTGGAAGGTGACAGCCTTGCAGAACCGCGTGCTAGTCTACCCCTCCCCCTCATTCCAATACGGACGTGCCCAGTGAGTTGGGCAAAAAGTAAGCTGTATATCTCGTCAGCGCAGTAGCAGAAGCCAATTCTAGAAAAACAAAACATCATCTCGCTTAAGCTCTACTTCCCGGTCTGGATTGCTTTTAGAAGCCTTTGGGTCTTGTAAACACCGCGGCCAGCGCTATCCTCAGTGATGAGTTCTGATAGCGAAGAACTCCTGAAAGCCTTTCAGAGAGCAACAACGGAGTTCAAACTCTGTCCAAATCGCGTATGGGCTGTAGCAGGGGAGGACTTGCCAAATTTATTGCCCTCATCTATATTTAAGCATCAGGGACACGAGAGCTCCAACCACGAGCTCTGCACATTTGATTTCTGTGAATACTCCCAGCGCGATTTCACAGCGGTACAACAACGACATGAATGCAAGGGGGGCGGCTGTTTGCCACTGTGGGGTAGCTTTTCAAGAAGGATACTGGAAAAAGCTGCCTGTAGCGGGAAATCAACGGTCTGGAATTTGGCTGGAAACGCTATGCTAGAACCTCCTCGACCATATATGGCAGTTTCTCACGTCTGGTCAGACGGAACTGGCACCGGAGCTTGGCGTGATGGGGAAGTCAATGAATGTCTCTACTTATATTTCCGAGCCATCGCAGAGCACTTCCAATGCGAGGGAATCTGGTGGGACGCCCTTTGCATTCCACGTGCTAAGGCCGCACGCAACAAAGCTATCCAGAAAATCCAGACAAACTACCAGGATGCCCGGATTACATTAGTACACGATTGCTTTCTTCGGAACTGGGACTGGGACCCTGAAACCGCATGCTTCGGCATCCTTATGTCACCCTGGTTCAGTCGAGGTTGGACAGCCCTAGAGCTAGCAAAGTCGCGCAAGGTCAAGGTCATCTTCAAAGGACGTTATGGTCCTGTTATAAAGGATCTGGACGAAGAGATACTTGCAAAGGCAGATGAGATCAATGTCCCGCGCATCAAAGCGTCACGCATGATCAGGAATCTTCGGAAGGAGTTCACGTCATTGAACGATCTCCTAACTGTATTGCGCCCTCGATTTACTTCTTGGCCTAAGGACATGGCGGTCATCTCAGCTCTTCTGGTGGGCATTGAGCCAGAGGAACGGCAACAGAAGACATACAGGAGTATTCTAAAAAAATTAGGTGAGCTTTGCCCTGAGAATCTTTTTCATAATGCTGCAACGATGTCCGATGAATTCAGCTGGTGTCCTACTAGCCTGTTCAAGATGCCGTTGGAAAGATCTTCAGAGGTCCGCCTAAAGATCCTCGGAAACGATATCCGAGGGAAGTGGCGCATTAGCCGTCATTATGTAGAAGCAGGGCTTGAAAAGAATTGCATATGGCATAGCTCTCACCCTCTGATAACAAGGCAGCTCCAAGATGTCTTGAAATGCCCTAGACGATGTCGGCTCCTAACCAAATGCGGCACAGAACCAGTCCAAAGGGCTCTGCTGGTGAGAGAAAGGCATTGGGCGCGCTATCAATATCTTGGTGCTCTGTACTTCCGTCAGGAGCTGAGAGCATGGAGTACCGACGACTGGATAGAAGAAGATGTGACAATATGTGGCATTCAGGGTGATGATGGACTGATGCGCCACCCTGGACAGGATAGGAGTGCCAGAGACGCGGAGTGTACAAATCTCTCCAAATATCATCAAGACGAGCGATCGGACCATGCCTTGGACGTCGAGAATTTGAAGCACGCAGTATGGAGAGGAGAGTATTACCCGGCTTTCTCAGAGATGATGGGTAGAGTCGATCTGGAGATCCCTGATTGTCTTGGACGACGCCTGCTTCATCTTGCAGCCGAACGAGGGGATAAGCGGTGCGTTGAATCATTGTTGGCCAGCAACGTTGATACGGAGGCACGGTGCCACAATGGTCAGACAGCACTGTACCTCGCCTCCTGGGGAGGCTCCGCATCGGTTGTGAGATCGTTGCTAGACCAACATAGCGATGTGACAGCGAAAGACAATTACGGAAATACTGCACTACACATCGCTGCGCGAATGGGTTTTGAATCTATCGTCCGGCTCCTCATCGAGAAGAAAATTCCTGTCAACGCGGAGGGTCACAACAGTCTCACGCCTCTACATTATGCAACAATGAATGGGCACAAAGCGGTGGTTGAATTGCTGTTAAGGGAAGGGGCCAAAGTCAATGTCAAAGATAGCAAGATTGGTTGGGTGCCGTTGCATTGTGCAGCTGAGAGCGGAGATGAAGACTTAGCCGAGCTCCTTATCAAGAGCGGCGCCGATGTCAACGTGACAGACAGCATAGTGGGTTGGAATCCTTTGCATTTTGCCGCTATGAATGGTCACAAGAACATGATGCACTTGCTGGTCAGACAAGGTGCAAATAGCAAGGCTAAGGATATGTACGGCTGGATGCCGCAACAGTTTGCAGTATTAAATGGACATGGACACCTTGGGATTGTGGAGCTTTCCTCCAGCGAAGGCGAAACCAGCCCCTTTGCAGACAAGGGTCGGCTAACGCCCATACACTGTATAGCAATCAACCGCCAACGTGTGCTACACAAGCTGTTAGATGGCAACGGCACTGACATTGACTTTTCGAGCTCGAAGGAGAACTGGTCACCAATGTTGTTTGCGATACAGAATGGCCTTTCAGCCGTGATTAATCTGCTGCTTGAAACGAGCGCCACAATTGAGGCAGAGGAAGGGACTGGCCGAACCCCACTATGCTGGGCTGCTCTAGAGGGGAATTACACTGCTGCAAAACTGTTGCTTGAGAAGGGTGCCAAAATTGAAGCAAAGGATCGTTACGGTCACACACCACTACACTGTGCTGCGCAAGAAGGGCATGAGTCTGTCGTTTCACTGCTTCTCGAGAAGGGTGCAAATTGTGAGGCAGCAGATGATTATGGTCAAACTCCACTAGTCTGCGCTGCCAAGAATGGGCATGAGACTGTCGCGGCACTGCTGCTCGACAAGGGAGCTAATATCGAGGCAGCA